CGGCGCCGCCAACCCCATGGCGGCGGTGGCGGCGGCCAACCCCTTCCTCGCGATGCAACTCTTCGGCCAGGCGCAGCAGCTCCAGAACCTCGGCTACCTCGCCGCCGCCGCGCTCCAGCAGCAGCAGCACCAACAACACCACCACCACCAACCGCAACAGCAGCAAAATCCCTTCTTGCCGGGAGGCTTCCCGCCGAACCCCAATCAGTTCGGGGCCTTCTCTGGCCCTCAGGCCGGCTTCAACGGCGGCGGCGTGTTCCGGCCTGGTGGTGCTGGGTTGGCCGGGCCTCGGCCGCCCCTGCCGATGATGGGCGCTGCCTGGAATGGTGGCAGCGGCGGCAGCGGTGTCGGGGTGAACGGCCCGCCGAGGCCTGCGCTGAACGTTGATGGGAAAGATCGGAACAGTAGTGGAGGGGTCGGTCAGGTTGGTGAATCATTTGCTGCATAATAACACTACGCTTTTAGCCTTTAGGATCATATCAGCGCACTGTAGCGGTTATTGAATTTTTTTTTACTCCATTCTTCTTCTTTTTTCGATCAGTAAATAGTTGTGATTGTCCTTTTTGTTGCAATTTCCCCCACTAGCGGCATATTTCACTGGGATAGCTGATCAGCTGTCATGTCTTTCAGAGTGATGTTCTCTATGGGTGTTAGCAGGACCATTTAGGATCAGGACACCGTGACGGCATTCTGATAATGATGAATGGCAATGCTGTATTGTTTGGCTACCCAAGCATGATGTTTCAGTATACAAATATTTTTTGACTGCGCCCAAATAGTTAGTGTACTGCCTGCCACACACCAGGGAATTTTCTATTGGAGTATTGGTATCTCTTGTTTACAGTATCTGTGCCTATGGGCACAACTAAGCTCCATTCTGAATGCCATTCTGCTTTTTTGGGGGCACAAATTTGTCCTTCTCAAACTTTCTTACTTCTCATAAATGTGTGAAAAGTGCTTTTGTGATTGTTTTGGAACGTATATCCGTGAACATATCGGTTAATATTACTGTTGCTGTTATGAATTGGTAATATGATCGCTATATCATCACATACCTCTCACGAGCAGACCTCGGCTTACAACTTTTGTTGTTGTTACTTAGATGTACTGGTCCCTGTTAATGTACAGCACAGGTCTGTGATCTAATTGATGTTTCTCTTAATTTGTCACAGGTAAACCAAACTAATAACAAATCAGATGGCATCTCTCATGTTGCCTCTGAAAATGGTGTGAGGAATAATGCAGCAGATCAGAAATCCCGATTTAACCCTGGAAGAGATGGTAAGGATGGAAGGCAGTTTGGTCCATCTGGTGGAAGAGGGAGAGGAGATAGTAGGGGTGGAGGGCAATTCAATCCATCTGGTGGAAGGGGGAGAGGAGATAGTAGGGGTGGAGGGCAATTCAGTCCATCTGGTGGAAGGGGAAGAGGAGATGGTAGGGATGGACGGTTTAGCCCATCTGGTGGCAGGGGGAGAGGGAGAAATTTTAATCAAGGCCGTGGAAGAGGTACCGTTCTATGCTTATGGCATACAAACAGAACTTACCCTGTGTCACCTCATGCTTTGGAACATGCATAGGGGGCCGTGTTAATCAGAATTAAGCAGGGCTGCAGGAGCGTCCATAAGTCTAATTGCATGATAACTCATTTCTACAATGCATTGTTTTCCCACTAAAAAAAGTAGAACCTGCATGATCGTCAGTTAGCCTTGAACTCTTAACTTGTGATGCGTTTGACATAATGTGTAGCTTCATTTTAAGTGCTTATAACTGCAAGGAAAGTAGGAAGCAAAGGAACAATGAAATCTTTGAACAGAAGGCATGAGGTTACTTGTACATAAGGTTAAAGAGGAGGCTAAGTGCCCTCTGGTCAATTGGATTGACTCTTTAGCTTAAGGTCCCATGTATATGTCTTGCTGTGTAGTCTAGTCCACTGCATTCCTTGTACATATCGTGTGTAAATTGTAATTTTCCTGTCAGGGCCTCCCCTACAGAATCTTGAAAAAAAAAACTGCAAGGAAAGTACAAATGAATATGCTGCAGTTCACATCTTATCTGCCACAGTTGCGTATAACTTTGTGCTATTTTATGATATACATCGAGTCACGAATTTGATCACCATAGCTACATGATAGAAGAGCATGCCATACAATATCATTAGTATTCTAACTACCATGAGTTACTTTATCATCTTTTCAGGAAGAAATGACTGGAGAGAAGGAAAATGTAATTTTACAAGTAGTGACAGTCCAATATCAGGAGATTGTCACATTGACAGCCCAGCATCTGAAGGAGTTCGAAAGTATGTCATGCTGAATGCTGATATATTTTTCATATACATAAGTGTATAATTGGTATTGAAAACGAGTTTCATTACATGTTTTGGTATCTGCATCTCTCCTGGTCTGTGCATAGTAGAAAACTGTCTTCATCATTTCTAGTGCTAACTACCAACTAGCTTGTGGTAACAAATTTCTGTTACTCAGCTAGATGCCCACATTTCTGTCTAACCACCAGACATTTCATGTCACTTTGTTCTAAATTATTAAAACATGTTCGTGGCCGTCTGGCAAATGATTGAATCCTTGTATGTTGTTCTAGCAAAAATAAAAGTTCATCGACTAAAGTAACAGAATTGAACAAGCCGACCTAAACTTTTTGACGCCTATATTTTGTTGTTAACTTGTTATTTGTTGTTCTTCAGTTCACATGTTCTTAGACTATCTCATTTGTTACCAATTTTGTATTGATTTAGTATATACTTGCAGGCGCCCTCCTATCATTTATGACAAAAAAGAAGTTAAACAGTGGGTTCAAGCACGCAAGAAAAACTACCCTACAAGTGCCAACATAAACAAGGTCAATGTTTATATATTTATGTTTTTTATTAGTTCTGAGCAACTTTATGTCAACATGGAAGAAGCATTGACTGACTGCTGACCTTATAATACAGAAGTTGTGTCAGAGTCAATTGGATGAGCAAAAGAAAGATGAAGAGGCCCAAATGCGCCGCCGGGTAAGCCGCTCTAGTACTATGGTTCATGTATGTCTTCTCTAGATTTTAAACGGAAGAAGAATTGATCTATTTAAGTGGTTCTCTTTACTACGTATGAAAGACTTCAGGTTTATATGTCTAAATATTCAGACGACGCTGTTCCAATATTTCCATCTACTACACGCGTTAATCTTGAATACTCTTGTTTCATTTGGTGCAGGAACTCAAGGAAGTTATAGCAAAGCAGAAGGAATTGGGTTTGGAACTCCCTGAACTACCACCTGGCTATCTGTCTGACACTGAGGGTCAACCCAGGGGACGTCAAGGCAATGAAAAGGAAAGTAATTGGAAGACTCGACAGGGGGGTGGTCGTTTTGGAAACCGAGGGCGTGGCCGTGGTCGGGGCCGTGGCCGTGACAATAAGCGACAGAGGTCTGACGACAGAGAAGATTTTCAGTCTAAAAGACCGAGGGAGAGGAACAACAATAGTCGTCGTCATGATGGTGGTGCGATGACCAAGAGTAGGGAACCAACCCTCTTGCAGAAGCTTCTTAACTCTGATATCAAGAGGGACAGGCACAGGCTTCTGCACACGTTCAAATTCATGGCCTTGAACAATTTCTTCAAGGACTGGCCTGCTAAGCCGCTGGAGTTCCCTATTGTCAAGGTGGACCAGATAGAGCTTGGAAGTGATATTGACGAGGAAGACTCAGATGATGACTTGCCGGATGCCGAGACGGCCAAGGACTGCAGCCTCGGTTTGAAGGAAAACGGTGATCAGCCGGAATCGAGCTCCAGCGATGAGGAGGATGAAAGTGAGGACGGCGACGAAGCTGACGACAAGGGTGCTGATACTGAAATAACCGAAAAGGTTTCAGATGAGGATTCCGACGCAGAGCAATGCGAAGAAGGTTTCTCAGATTTCTCAGCCTGAGTTTCTTGACTAGAACCCAAGTATGTGACCGTGTTTTGCATGTATAGTTACAGAATATTTGTAAGCCTTCTCACAACTTTATCCTGTTGCCGTGAGCTATGATTTCGTTGTAATGCTTCTGAATGGTAAAATGATATCGTTGTTGCAAGAAACAGCAGGCACATGTGATGTACTTGTAAGGGTATCATTTGTGCACTTTTGGCTTTTTACATGCAGTCGATGCCCTAATGTTGTTTTCTCTCTGCATCTCTGTCCGAGCCAAACAGTGGGCAGGAAAAACAGCATAGGCCCAGTTAAGTACTTTCTGAAAAAGATGCCATACAGAAAAAAAAAATCTCATACAGAAAATTGTAGAGAAACATAATTTACAACTTGCCATGTTTTAATTTATAAAAATGTCATGCTATATAATACTCCCTCCATCAAGTTAGTACAAAGTTGAGACACTTATTTTGAGACGCAGGGAGTTTGAAACTGCCATCAACTAATTTATAAATATAAATTACAGATTGAAAGGAAAACTTAGAAGAAAGTTTCTACTAGAAACACATCTAGACCATGATCATGGAAAATCATAGAAAATACTTACGCAGAAAATACCCCCTACCTTCAGCTCCTAACCCCCAACCCCCCATCCAAAACAAGGATTGGAAGACATCTAGACTTGGCATGATTTAATGAACAATTTTTGTATGCAAATTTGCCATGTATATGATGAAAAAATTATGTAAAAGTTGCATGTGAACATTTCTCATGGTAAAGAAAACATTTAAAAAATATATTTACCATGCTGGTTGTAATAAAATTGCCATGGTAACACTAAAAAAATGTAATGGAAGTCTTTAGACTGTGATTGAAATGAAGTTGACATGAGAGATTTTTTTAGAAAATTAGTGAAAAAGGAAAAAAAAATCCTTCTTTTTTTAGAAAATTGCTCTAACCCTGCTTATTTTGTTGTGTTGTTGAACTAAAATTTTCATGGCTGTGAAAAGAAGTTGCCATAGTCCAGGGAAAAATAAATTGCCCTGGCTCTGAACAATAAATTTGCCATGTCTGTAAAAATCAATTTTTCATGGTCTCTCAATGCAATTTGCCATGCCCCCCAAAAGTTTGAATTTTAAAAATAAATGTAAAAACAAATTTGCCATAGAATATTCAAATAATTTGCCATGGTATACATGAAATAATTTATCAAAAATTCTAATTTGCCATGGTATGTACAATAAATTTGCCATGCTATGAACAATAAATTTGCCATGCCCAAAAAAAAGTATCAAAAAGAATTTGCCATGATAAGTTCAATAAAAATGCTGTGGAACTTACTACACGTTTGCCATGGGATGTGATTTTTTTGCCATAGTATATCCAAAGCAAAAATGTCATGGAATTTCAAATAATTTGCCATGTTATACACAAAAGAGCACTGTTGGGCTAGGGACAACGAGAGGGAGCGCCTTCAGAAGACGAAAAAAGAAAGAAAAAAATAGCCCAATTCTAGTGTCGGCGGGCAACGACGTGGTGTCGGCCTTCGTGCGTGGTGGTCATTGAAGGTAAGGAACGCAGCGAGAACGGCACCGAAGTAGAAGCGGCCGTGCAAGGGGAAGATAATTTTTTGCAACTTGCCGCGGCCGTTCAAATTTGAGAGCCACAAAGGATTCTTCTCAAAAAAATTGCAACTTGCTGCGGCCGTGAGATCAGCTATTGTTTTAGGAACGAAACAAATGAACCTGTTTGATTCTCTTGGCAATCCTCCGTATCCGCTCGTCCGCCCGGCCAATAAGGGTGTGTTTGGTTATTGTTGTGAACAGTTTCTGCATCACATACATTTTTCAACCCAGTTTGATTGAACAAAAACAGGCTCTAATACTTTGCAAGTTGTTTAGTTGTCTGCATCTAGTGTTTCTGTATTAGGTAATACATAAGTGCATTTTGTTTGGTTGCCTGCATTGGTCCAAGCGGCACATAAACATGACGTTTGGTTGCATACGACGTACATGTTGTGCTTACCTTAGTTGGTCAGTTTACCCACAATGATCACACCTAGCACACCAACGCCACAACACAACAATAACGATGAATTGGGCGAAGATGATGAAGTTCTTCAGCTTCAGCGCAAACTGACGATCTACCTTGACACCTCCAACTTTGCCATCGTCAACACTGCTGCCTCCCTGCTTTCGCACCCAGTCGAAGTAAGCTTGTTCTGCTGCCTGCCTACTCTTCAACCCTCTATGGCTGTTGTTGCTATATGTGCCACTTGTGCACTGACTTCTTTCCATGAACTGTAAACCCCTAGCAAATCAATGAAGTACACAAGTAGCAAGCAAAGTAGCACACAAACAATAACGGAGCAGAAGAGAAGAAGTAAAGCATGCATGATCATACGACATAGCAAGTTCTACCTAGCACTACTTTGGTGTTAACCTACCACCACATTCAAAAGAGGATATCGTTCTACCACCGCAAGTTCACCATCAACGTGAGGGGTTAGTATATACCACCTCACCAAAATATACAGACCATCAAATAGTTTTTCAGCCCTACCTACACAAAATGTACGTCGTCGTCGTCATTGCCATCGTCGTCGTCGTCGCCACCGCCATCGCCGTCGGGGATCATGCACGCTCACAGGCAGCACTACTCTAGCAGTAGTGCTTGCCCAGCCAGCTCCTGAAGCACAACACCTTGTGAGCGTCTGCGATGGCAACGAACCCAACACCCTGGGCCTTGTTGTCAAGAAGGTGGCTGAGAGCTGCCATGAGAGCCTCATCGTCGAGGGGCTTGCACTCCCTGATGGTTGTTGCCACCTCCTTCACCGCCTCAGTCATACTGCAAAAGACATTGATCTCCTCCTCCATCAGGCCTCCTCTCTTCCTCTTCCTATCATGGACGGGGTCAAATGGCTTGTTGAAGGGCTTCACGAAGGGCTTGTCAGGGCCATCAAGGACCTCGACGTCCGGGGTCCCAGGGAAGTTTGGCATGGGAGAACCAAGAGGCTCCCCCGAGCCCATGGCATGCTTCCCAGTTGCCAGCCCGAAAGAGAAGATGTGCTGCATCTGGTTGTAGTTTTGTATGGGTGTTTTGAGAAACTCAACGTCCCTTGGGTGATCCTAAGAATGAAACACAAGTGTTGTTAGTTGCGATTAGGACTAGTCAATGGTGGACAGTATGAAAGGAAGAGGGCCGTGAGCTAACCGCGACATGCTCGGTGTAGTGTTCTGCTTCCAGAACTATGGAGTAAGTGTTCTCATCCCATGAGGCGCCGATAAGGTCTCTCAGCTTGGACACTTGGATCCATCGACATCTCCACTTTCTCAGGTGGTTGTACATCTGGGTGGCAGACACCTCCTGGCCACAGAACTCGAACACCTGCTTCGCAACGGTGTTCAAGTGCACCTCCTTGAAGCCCTTGTCAGTTCTAACTCCACTAGAGATGAGCTCACACATCTTGTTCCGCACGAACGTGGACATGAACGACTGCCACTTCATGTTGTTCGACCTACCATCTTTCTTTGCCTTTGTTGTTGCTACCTTGAGTGCAACGGCAGCAGCAGCAGTAGCAGGAGTTGGCTCAACGAGCACTACTGGCACATAGAGGGAATCAGACGCGAACACCTCTAAATCAGGTGCCATCTCGAACATAGGCTGTGAGTCCTCGACAAACGATGGAGCAAACTGGCTGTCGGACAGGACAAGGGTCTGACTAAGATCTTGCGTTTGCGTGGTCATGTCCTACAATCGTAGCACGATTGACAATAAGTATAGCACACAACATACCAGACAATCCATAAAAGAAGGAGCATACATGTACACGGTTCATCACTATCATAGCAAGCACATACTTCATCACTATCATACTAAGGCCAACTCCACCGCGCGACCCCAAACAGACGTCCATTTTGTCTGGATTCTGTCCGTTTGGGTAGGGATTTGGGGTCGTGTCCGGGCGTGTCCTGAGATGCGGTGGCCGTGCGCCCAGCGCGCGGACGCATCCCGACCGCATCCTGTCCGCATGCATTTTTCTTTGCAAGTCCTTAACTTTTTTTTCATCATTCATTTTTGGTACATGACAATACATCATCACATTTTGACTAGTAAAGCAAGGCCAAAGAAAATAAGAACAATAAGAATACATTTTAGAAGATAGCCAACTTCCATAACTTCCCCCTTGAGTTGGGTTAGGGCCTTCTCGATGCACTCATTGCTGATCTGTGGAGGAGGCTCGATCTGGCATCCTTCTTTCTTCTTCAAGCCAGAAGTAGATGTTGCTTCCTCAGACCTAGTCTCGTGTCTAGCCTCTAATCTAGCAACAAGTGCACTTGTCTCATTTACAACCTCTATGCTAGCTAAAAGTGCACAAACATGTACTAAATTTCACTCTATCAATATATCGATGTACTCTTCTTCCCAATACCAAAACTTGCATCCATTCTACACAACAAAATTTGAAGTTAGCACAACTAGTCAAATCTAGAGCACAAACCGAAGCTAAAAAAAGCGCATACCCCATCATTTAAGCACTTGATGAACACCCATCCGGGATGTTCCGGCGTTGTAGACACGCGGCGCACGACCATCCTTGGGCAGTGGTCGCACTTAATGAGTGGCAACAGTGCGCCGGCGAGCTTTTGGGCAAGCACCGAGCCCGGTCGGCCGCCATTTGTGTATCTGCCGGCGGACCACCGACGGTGCAGATCCGAGCGGCTAGAGGAGGAGCCACTGCCTGCATGTGCCCTTGCGGCCCTGCCAGGGCCTTCTGACGAGGTGCCCGGCCAGTCCATGGCGCGGCCAGGCCTCCCACAACCGGCCGAGCTCAAGACCGACCGGATCCGCCCCAAAACCGGCCGGCGGGTGCGCAAACCAGGTGGCCATGGTTGGGTAGCTCGGCGGCGCCTAGGGGAAGGGGTTGGGTGAGCTTGCGTCCGAACTGCACGGCTGCAATGGCAGCGGCGGCGGCAGCGAGGGGAAGAGTGGGGAAGAGTGGAGGGGGTGCGGCCGGA